TTGCAAGAGACTCTTCAACGACCATATCCATCTGAAATGTTGAAATTGCTTTTCTGGCCATAGAGTGGCACAGCGAAATAAAAATTGATTACAAAAAGTCTTTTGATAGAATTCTAAATTTGCACACATAATTCCCATGAATGGTCACGTCTTTTTGTTGAAAAAAAACTTTTTACCAAGACCAGTAAAAAGGTCTGAATATCCTGTTATGGAAAGTTTTGAGGAAAAAAGTTTACATCCTCCTCTTCCAAAGCCTCCACCAAAGCCTCGTCCATAGCCTCCGCCAAAACCTCGATTTCCAAAACCTCCGAAGCCTTGATTTCCAAAGCCTAAATAGCGAAGCAATAAAACTGCAAGCTGAATCAAAGCGGACGTATCATACCTCCAAAGCCACCTCGATAACCTCCGAAGGGGCCTAAAATGGCTAATTTTACTTCACATTACGAGATAAGTTAAACTTACCTCCTCCGAAAAACTGCGTATTAACGCCAGCCACCAGCAGGAGAGCAATCAAGACGAGGTAATTGAACATTGTATAAAATTGCTGTCTGAAAAGCCGTAGCTAGTAACTTGGTAAGGTGAATGCTATAAATGTAGCAGTGGAAAATTTTGATATGGTTGACGTTTGCTAAATGGTAGAGAAAGTGCGAAAACAAACATAGAAAACAAAGTGTCAGTTGCTGGTATACCGGATTCTATTGCGCAAAACAAGTTCCACGTCGTCTCTATGTTACAACTTCAGCATAAGCGATGTTATAATGTTTGGGGTTTTTCTCTATAATTTATATTATTCAGCAGTTTTGTAGAAATGAGTCTCGAAAAGGCAATAGCATAGGACTTCGGGCAATCTGAGATATCTTCTTCGAGAAGAAAGGAGAATGTTAAGGACACTGGAAGATTGAAATCGTGATAAGCATTTATTGTGCTTGATGTTTGCGCGTCCTAGAAGGGAAAACAGCTCATAGAGATGATTTTATAAGATACTGGCTGGCATATCCGGTTACACCCAAATCCGGTCTCAAAAATATTAGTAGGAATACCGTCCCTATTTGGTACATTATTACCTCGACCCGATCCCATCTCCACGTGCCACACTACTCAGACAATTCACCGGAATTTCCGCAGCAAAAGCCAGATTTGCAGAAGTTTCGCAGGACTTTGTTTACTA